TTCCAATAGGTTAGGTTATGATTCATTTCAATTCAAGTGACTTTTAAGTAGACATTATTAAGTAAGGTCATTTTGATCCAGGTTCAATTTCGAGCTCACCATTTGACACCCATATACTAATAATTAGGGTATAGTATATCGTTTAGTAGAGGAAATTAAAAAATAATTATGTATATTTTTGTGTAATAACGATATCTTGTTTGATATATATTTTTAATTTATGTATATTTAATGCTAGCAATATTTAGATTGAGGTATGTATAACTAATATATGAAAATCTATTAGATTAGAAATGCAAGGGGTTTTTAATGTAGGAATTAGCAGGGGCGGAGCTAGCATAGAGTTAGGAGTTCATCCGAACCCCCTTCGGCAGAAAATATTACTATTTATACATGGTTAACATTGTTTTTATGTATATAGTAGATGTCGAACCCCCTTCGATTAGTTTGTGGTTTACTTCTTCAATTTTTTAACCCCCTTATTAAAAATCCTAGTTCCGCCACTGGGAATTAGCATGGTCAAAGACACAATTGTCTTCCACTATATTAGTAGAGGATATTTTTATAAATAAATATTATATTTTAGAAATTATGCAAAGCATGTTATTTTAAATACACCAAATCAAACAATGCATAAAATGTAATCACTACTAGAAAAATTGGAATTAGCTACGAAATTTGTCGCTAATCGGTGTTATTATGCTCGTAGCTAACGTAAACTTGTCCTAATTCATCACTAAATAAAATTAGCAACAAATTTTATTGTTTAGCTACAAAATTAATTCGTCGTTAAATTCAATAATATCGACATTATTAATATACTTTATTCAATATTATTCTTATGCATCCTACCGAACGATTCATCGATACATTTGATTTTTAATGTGTGTTTGTTAAGTAGCTCCTCAACATGAGAATTGCACGTGCAGACTATGTTCCCTTGTAGGTGCTGGGAAAGAGCAAGTTGTGGTAATCACCTGTAATTTCCTTAATCTGTAAGGGCATTTTCAGCAACAGATATTTATAAAAACCCTTAGAGAGTTTGCCAATTTTCATTGTGCACATATCTCTCTCATACATATAATTAATTTGGATGATATATATGGAAGAAGCTATGAAAATGAAGAAGGTAGTTTTAGTGTTGATGATACTATGTGCAAGTCTCCAAATTGGTTCATCTCTAATTGATGGTAATTAATCAATCCTTAATTATCCTTTTTATTACCATTTATGCATACTTTGTACATGTTGTTTTTATTAATTCAATGCTATATCTACACTACTAGAAATAAAGGTTTTTTTAATCGTGAATTCATTAAAAATTTATGCTACGGAATGTGATTTTCTCATTTATTTTTCACCGAATCAGCTCACTGAGAAAATATATGGTGGGAATAGATTCTCATTGAAATAGTGAAAAAATTCCTCTTTTTTCCGTATGAAAATATTACTTACTATTTTTTCTTTTCATATCTTCAAATTCATTTTCATAAAGCTAGCTAGGTCTTTTTCCTCTTTAATTTGTTTTGAGAAGGATGTGGGAAAACTTTAAATTTAAATTTTTCATTTTACGTGTCTATGTCAAGCTCTTACGATTATAAAAATGTCATGACATATTTAAAAGTATTTATTCTTTTCTTTTGGATATATATAACCTATTGGAGTTGCAAGTGTTTAGAACTTGGGAGTTGTGACAATAAATTAGCTTACTCCTTGTTAGAGTACCATTTTGCATGAGTTATTATTAGTTGTCAGCAATCTTTGGGCACCAAGTTCGCAAATGTCATTCAATGCTCCAACTCACAATTAATAGTTTTTGAGTGGGTTAGTCAATTAAAAATAGTTGATAAATATGATAGCTAAAATTAATTTTATAAATAAATAATTACATATTGTTTTTTTTTATAGAAATATTGAAATTAATTAAGAAGTTAGTGTTTCCGGTATAAACGTGTTTATAAGCGCTCTTTTATGTAAAAATGACTGAAATGTCCTTGAATCTATTTACCAATAATATAAATTGGAAAGTATTTTCATATAAAAAAGGACAAATAATGAAAATATTCTAAACACTTTTTTTGTTACCAAATGCATACACACAAGAGTGATGATGGATCCTCACTTCGGGCGGAACTAGTAAGGATGTAGGTTCATCTGAACCCCTTATATATATAATAAATGTTGAACCTATTTGACTTCTTCGTATGTTTACTTTTTCATATTTTGAACTTCTTAATGAAAATTATGATTCCGCCACTGCCCTCACTCTATGGTTTTCTAACTTATACCAGGATTATTACCAAATGGCAACTTCGAGCAAGGTCCAAAACCATCACAAATGAAGAAAACAAGAGTAATAGACCCTCATGGTATACCTCATTGGGAACTCTCAGGTTATGTAGAGTACATAAAATCAGGACAAATGCAAGGTGACATGTTACTTCCAGTACCACAAGGGGATTATGCTGTTAGGCTAGGTGAAGATGCATCACTCAAAACCAAAGTCATAAATGTCACAAAAGAGACATTTTACTCCCTATCTTTTGTGTTTGCTAGGACTTGTGCTCAAGAAGAGAGACTTAATGTGTCAGTGTCACCTAATAGTGAACCAAAAGATTGGGGAATGTTGCCATTACAAACAATGTATAGTAGTGATGGATGGGATACTTATTCATGGGGTTTTTTGGCTGAGGCTAATGAGATTGATATTGTGCTACATAATCCTATTGCTCATGAGAAGGACCCTGCTTGTGGACCACTTATTGATTTTGTTGCTCTCAAGGCTTTGAAAACAACACATAGACCAAAAGGTATAATTAACTCCTCCCATTCATTACATTGTCAATTTTACTATGCGTCTTAATTTATGTGACATTATTCGAGTTTAAAAAATCAAATAGATTTTTCCTTTAATCATGAATTTTTCATATACTCTATCCGTTTTATTTGGGGTGGAGTTTAAGAAAGAAAGAAAGACTTTTGAAACTTGTGGTTTAAAATAAGTGACATGTGTTTGTGTGGCTATAAATCATTTCATTAATGATAAAATAGACATTTTAAAGTTAAATTATTGTATTTAATATAGAAATGTATCATTCTTTTTGGGACTGACTAAAAAGGAAAGTGAGTCAGTCATATAAACTAGGATAGAAGGAGTACTACTTTTTAATATTTTGAATGTTAATTATTGTAACTTATAATTATTTTTGTGTAATTCTTAAATATGTAAATTTTATTTCAAAAAACTTATATTATGTATCTAAATTTACGGTCAAAATTAAAAATTTAGACTCACCAAAATATTCAACTTGCTTTAGACACATGTATAGTTCAAGTTCTTTTGAAACTTGTGATTCTAAATCTGTTATAAAATTTACATCGGTTATAATTAAATATTTTTCATTAATTAAGGATAAATTGAAAGTTTAAATTAAATTATTTTCAAATTTAGAAAGATGTTAGTCTTTATTTGGACGAAAACTAAATAGTACCATGGTATGCACATGCACTTATTATTTAATCTACATTATCTTTCAATACCTATTAAATAAAGTTACCCATAACTACTGCCTTTTAAATGATCAGATTGTGTAAATACTTTCCATACGTCAGTGTACAAAATTTAAACTCTAGTTACATAAATGTATGCAGACAACATGTTGAAGAATGGAAACTTTGAGGAGGGTCCATACATCTTCCCTAACACAACTTGGGGAGTCCTAATTCCTCCCAACATAGAAGATGATCATTGTCCATTGCCTGGATGGATAGTTGAATCTCTCAAGGCCGTAAAATACGTCGATGCCGATCACTTCACGGTGCCCGAGGGCAAGCGAGCCATCGAGCTAGTCGCGGGACGAGAAAGTGCAATAGCACAACAAGTGATCACCAAAGCTGGAAGAATTTATGATCTCACATTCTCAGTTGGAGATGCTAACAATTCTTGTGAAGGGTCTATGGTTGTTGAGGCATTTGCTGGCAATGTTGCATTACAATTTAAATATGTGTCTAAAGGCAAAGGTGGGTTCAAACGTGCTAAGCTTAGGTTTACAGCAACGTCTCAACGCACTAGGGTTAGGTTCTTGAGCTCGTATTATCATATGAAGAGTGACAACTCTGGCTCTTTGTGTGGTCCTGTGGTCGATGATGTTAGGTTAGTCAGCGTTCGCAATCCACGTATCCCATAGGCCAATTAACTACGTTATGTGTCTCTTTTTTAATTTGGTTTGTGATCCGTTCACATTGCTCTACGAAATCATGAGCTATATGATATATTCAGTGTAATATTATTATAGTGCAATTGTTACTTTTACATGTTACACACGCAAGAGATTTATATTATTTGGTGTTTCAATGTCACGTCTTACATGTACTTATCAAAATTTCAAGAAATCAAATGAAGTTGTATTAGTCTATTTATCCCACGAAATATTTGCCACCTCCCACCAACAACAGATACCAACCTATCCACTGTATTAACTAATTAATCTTGTGAAGTGGAATAAGGATAAGAAATAGAAAAACAGATAGGTGAAAGAATATCTGAGCATATGTAACTCAACATTCTAATACCATTGGTAAAAATTTGAGCATCCTGCATTGTGTTCCTCCAGCTACATTAGAATTAGATAGTATAACACTAATGATATGTAAAGAATTTGAGCATCAAATCTAAAACTTAAAGAGAACTAGTGTGGAGAAATTATATTCATGACAAACAGAAACCATCATTTTATAGTTAAAAGTCCTTGTGAAAAGACTTTTATAATATTCAATAACCTAAAACTTCAGGTCGTTTGGTTGGAAACAAGTTATCCCGGAATAAGTTATTCCACCATCCAAAATAGGCAAAAGTCTATCGCCTGGTGACTTTAGAAAAAGAAGGGGGGGGGGGGTTGCACTTGGAATTCCAATAACAAAGATTTATTATAGACGATACTGTAAATAGTACAGGCGGTTATTCATTTTCCCCTCAAAAGAATAGCTCCAAGTGGCTGATCTATTGTCTAGAGTCTACATTGTATATAACACTGATAATTCAAATCATTGGGCAATAATATCATTATTCCTTGTGCCCCCATCACATACAGTACACAAAAGGAAATGCTCACGATTAGTTCACCTAGTGTGATTTGAATGAAATCAGTTGACAACATCAAGGACCAATTTCCGAGATTTCAGGACAGACCATCTCAGGCGACGGTAGTAAGCTGCTTGGAGAAGTGCAAGTGATAAGACGAATATCCATTTGAAACCCATCTGTAGGAATTACAATAATACCCAAGAGGTCAGAAAAATCATTTAATGGCACATTCAACTGTCAATGAGGATCCAATATCAGTTCAACATGCAAAATGCAGAGGTTTAATCTAGTGACTATCATACTGCAAGAGAAGGACCATATGGAAGATTGCGGCTTACCAGCTTTCTCTCTTCCATTTCTGGTTCAGCAGCCCATGACAGGAAGGACACAACATCTTTTCCCATCTGCACAGTGAGAGAAAAATTACTTCCATCTCTTTATAATGGATCAACAAATAAAGCAGAAAGAGAGCAAGACATATTACTTGTGCCTCAGTTGCGGGTATACCATCCTCATACTCAACAGCACCATCATTAAGCATTTTAGGCATCGCTATAGCTCCACCAGGGAAGTAAGGGTTATAGTGAAGACCTTCCCTAATCTACAATAAGAGTTGAGAAGTTATTATGGTTCTCAGACTTCGAAAATTGTGATAACAATAAGTTAGTATCGAACAGTGTCACTATTAGGTAACAACCAATTAAAAATGGAGCATATCTCTTCACAATTACATCTTCAGATGTACACTATTTTTCTGTTTGATGCTTCCCCTATTCTAAACAAACAAAAGATGGTCACAAACCAAAAGAAGTCTGAGGGGAAGAAATTACTGAGACACCAGCAGGAGGGTCCCGGTAGCCAGTTAGAAGAGCGAAAACATAGTTTTGACCACTATGCCGGGCCTGAAAGAAGAAAGAAAATCAGGCAATGCAGATAAAATATAGCTGAAAGAAGAGGACCAAGGCAATACCTTAGTGATAAGACTTAGATCAGGAGGATAAGCCCCACCATTTGCAAACCTTGCAGCTGCTTCATTTGCGTAAGGCTGTGGAAAACGATCACTCAACTTCCCAGGGCGGGTGAACATCTCACCCTCATCATTAGGGCCATCAACCACCTCAATTTCTGCTGCCATGGCCTTAGTTTCTTCTTCAGTGTATGCAACACCAACAAGATCACGGTAGGAAATTAGCGACATTGAGTGGCAGGATGCACACACTTGCTGGTAAACCTGATGACCTCGACGTATCCTATCAGGCAAATAAAGGCGTTAAACTAAATGGGGTATCCATTTCATTACTCATGCTAAAATTTAGTTTTGAATAAACAAAAGGTTGAAATGTTATTCTGTAGCCTCCAATGAACTTTAATTATCATGTGGCAGCATAGCATATACTCACGAAGCATGATCATAAGAGCTGAGAATGCCTTCGTGAGGCCAAGGATAGCTCGGACACTCTAAGCCATGTTCGGCCTCATCAGAATAAGCAACTCCTGCAAAGCTAAGTAGCCCAGAGACTCCAGCACCAACCACTGCAAATGCTCTGAAAGACTTTAACCCAGCAGATCCAAAACCATCTGAGTCATGCTTTGAAACAAATAACAAAGTAATTTAATCAGCTGTAAATTATTCCATGATCATATAATTTATAGACCATACAATGCTAATGTAAAGGATTCAACAGAACACACTTAGTGATAAAAACTTTAATGGCTCAGTCATTAGCATATGTGAATATAACACCAAAAAGAAAGAAAAAAGGCAATTAAAGGTACATTACAATTGTTTATACCCTGCACCACTAGGATACACATTATTTTACTCAGTATTAGAGGTTCACATGTATGATGGCTCTCCCAATAAGCAATTTTGCTCCTTGTGGGATGAAAACCATAACAAATGGCATGAGAAACTAACTTTGCATAGTTTACATCCTCATAGATATATGAATTAGTAATTATATGAATGACACTCTCAATTATATTCACCAAAGAAATATGGGATCTGAAGAATCAAATCATGTAAACCAAACTGGACAATAATAAGTCTGCCAAGGGATTCACAAAACTGATAGTGAAATTTTACGATGTCTACTGACACGGTTGAACCATCTACCACTCTGCATTGGTTTTTACTCTTTCTGAAATGGTTAGGATTGTATTCAAAACAGCACAAAGAGTGTGCTGGGAACTCTGCACAATGTGGCAAAGTATAATGATACAAAAGTACATCACATCCTTAAACATGTAGGGATTCCAGTAGCTCTATTAAAACAAAAAGTTGCTAGCCTTTATCTTCTGGATGGAACTGTATTTGTCTTTGAAACATCTCAAGTTCCTCTTCACCACTCTTATTTAATATTTTCTTGTGAAAGTAATGATGTCCAGATTGTAAGACAAATAGGTACTAGTCTCTGCCAGGGGGTAAATGCAGCGCTGACTTCACGTTTATTCTTATGGCAGAACCACCAACAAGAAAATGGAAATCAAGTTCTTTAGTTTCAGTTTGAGATATTGAAACATGGTCAAGTAGCTCTTCTACCATGCATCGAGATCCAACATTGCTTTCTCTAGATAACTATAGGAATACATGAAATATCTTGTAGTATCAGTAGTGTTAGTTTGGCTGCATATTAAGCACTCAAAGAACCAGGTTCTTTGAACAACTATGCGAGAAGGTAATTTGCAACAAGTATATTAATACAAGTATTTAACGTGGAAAACTCACTTCCCTTAGGAGTCAAAAACCATGATCCAACTCTCCACTATCGTTTCAGGTTTGCAACTGCCCTTCTAGCCTAAGCTTCTTTTATGATACCAGCAGTATCTAAGTAATATTTGATAGTACAAAACTAATAATCAAGGACGCAAGAAGAGCTAACTATTTGTACTACAAATATAAGCATGATGAAATCACATGGCACAGTAAACTAGAAGTTTATTAATATGAAATTCATGTCATAGTAAACCTGAAGCTTACTAAAAGAAATAGCACATATAATGGTACACTTTCACTAGAACCTTTCTTTTACCTGGACATTCAAGGGGGAGTGTTGTAAAATAAGGGTGGATGCCCATGTATGAGACCCACCCATTTATGGGCTATTTTCACTTACCCAATCATTCTCCTTCTTGGTGGCCTTTTTAACTTTGGCTATAAATAGCCTTTTCAAACGAACAAAAGAAATACAAGAACAGATTGTTCTCTTCCTCTCTCAACTTTTTGTTAATTTAGTTTATCACTATCATTTGTTGGTTATAAAATAAATATAGAAGTGATAAACTAAATTAACAAGAAGAAGGAGAGAGGGAGAGAGCTATTCTTAACAAAAGGGAGAGAGAGTGAAAGAAAAATTTGTTCTTGTATTTCTTTTGTTCATTTGAAAAGGCTATTTATAGCCAAAGTGAACCAAGAAGTAAACACTAGTGGGTCCCATGAGCATCCATATCCTTTACAACACTCTCCCTTGGATGTTCATGCAAAAAAAAGTTATAGTGAAAGGACAAGTACATATAGTTATACTTAATACGCATTGTTTGCTGCCTCACTAAATATCTTACCAAGAAAACCCAGAGGGATAAAACCTTGGTTAAGAAAAAATGAGTACAACACGTATTTTACTCCCTCGAATAAAGACCACAATTCAGATGGTTAAGTCTTCGCATCCCAATCTTGTGTACCATCTTCTCAAAAGTTAAAGTTGGTAAGGATTTGGTGAATAAATCCACTGGATTATTGCTTGAACGGAAATGTTACACATCAATATCACTGTTCTTCTGGAGACCATGTCTAAGAATAATTGTGGTGAAATGTGTTTCGTTCTATCTCCTTTTATGAACCCTCATTTTAATTGGGTTATGTCTACAGCATTGTCTTCTAGTAAGATTGTGGACATCTTAATATCATACTCCATACTACATTTTTCTTTGATGAAATGTATCACTAATCTCAACCATACACATTCTCTGCTTGTTTTATGAATAGCTATTATCTCAGCAAGATTTAGAGAAGTGGCAACAATAGACTACTTCGTGGATCACCATAATATAGCAGTTCCCCTATATGTGAACATAAGGTCCAGAAGATCATCCATTTACAGAAAATAGCAAATCAAATCCCAAATGTGTTTACTGATTTGAAAAGGATAACTAAGTCACATATTCGAGCAGAGAATTGCCTATCCAAATTGATGTTCCAACAGGACCATCTACTAGTGTCATAGCTTCTGAATCTCAAACACATCTAAAGCGTGGTAGACCATTGGGTTCAAAGGATACAAATCCTAGAAAAAGAAGTGTGAAAAATGATCATATGACACCATAAAAGAATCTCATAAAGAGATTCAAGATTTGATTAATCCTGATATTCCTAAAGAAATCAATGAACTCAAGACTGAAGTGAATAAAGAACTATCAATAGGTTTTATTGGTGATAGGATAAAACTGAATCAATCAAAAATTATGGTGGATAATGTTTTTGCATATAATGTTGCACTAAACATTATGCAAGACATTGAGGATCTTGAACCTCTATCTGTCGAAGAATGCCTACATAGATGTGATTGGCCAAAATGGTAAGAGGTAATTCAATTAGAATTGAACTCACTTGCTATATGTAAGGTTTTGGGACCAGTAGTCCAAACGCCTAATGATGTAAAATCAGTTGGCTATAAACGGGTCTTTGTGTGAAAAAGAAATGAGAGAAATAAAATTGTAAGGTACAAGGCATGCCTTGTTGAACAAGGATTCTCTCAAAGACCCGGTGTCGACTATAAAGAAACATATTCACCGGTTATGGATGCGATAACTTTTTGATATCTCATCAATTTAGTTATACATGAAAAGCTTGAAATACACCTAATGGATGTGGTTACAACTTGATAATGAAATTTATATTAAAATCCCAGAAGGATTTAAAATCCCTAAAGCATATAGTTAAAAGTCTCGAGAAATGTACTCAAACATATTACAAATCATTAAACAGTTTAGAACAATCCGGGTGCATGTGGTATAATCGCCTCAGTCCGTAATTGATAAAAGAAAGTTATATAAATGATGTCATTTGTCCTTGTATTTTTATTAAGAAAACAACATTAGAGTTTGTTATACTTGTTGTTTATGTTGATGACATAAATCTCATCGGAACTCCAAAAGAGGTCAAAAAAGTAATTGAGTATCTAAAGAAAGAATTTGATATGAAATATCTTGGAAAGAAAAAACTTAGTCTTGGTCTGCAAATTGAACATTTAGCAAACGGGGTCTTCATCCATCAATCTGCCTATACTAAGAAAATTTTGAAACGATTTTACATGGACAAGACACATCCATTAAGTACTCCAATTGTTGTCCGTAGTTCGATCACTTGAAGTAAGTTAAAGATTTGTTCCAACCTCAAGAAGAGATTAAGGAACCTCTTGGTCCTTTAGTACCATATCATAGTGCAATTGGTGCACTTACATATCTTGCTAATGCTACAAGACTTGACATAGTGTTTCTGTTAATCTATTAACAAAATATAGTACTTCCCATACACGGAGACATTGGAACAAAATTATGGGCAGGAGGAGGGTTTGGGAAAGAGGGGGGCTTTGGGAAAGAAGGGAAGGGGGCCCACCAATAAGGTGTAAAGCGTAAGGGCCCCAATGCCCTTATAAGGCGTGTAGGGCCATGCACCTTCCTTTTGACGTTTATTTCACATCCATTAAGGGAAAAAAGCTAAGGTTGGGGGGGCTGCGCCTTTGCCCCTTTTGGTTTCTTCCACAATTTATTTGCCCTTTAGGCTCTAGACTCATCAATCAACTACATCCACAAACTACTTGGGTTGTCTATATGAATCCTCTATATACAACACTAACAAATGGATTGACGTATATGGCAAATTCCCCAAATCTCTACCGTATTCCTATACTAGTATACAAGCTTGTAACAACAAATACCTAGTGTAATCCCACAAGTGGGTCTAGGGAGTTTAGAGTATATGGAGACCTTACCCCTACTTCATACGGATAGAGAGGTTGTTCTTGATAAACCCTCGACTTGGATAAAGCATTTCTAATATAGGTGCTACAACAACAAATCTTAATCCCACCTAATTGAAATCCCCAAAATGATGCTTTGTTTCCACTGAGTTTTAGCATTCAACTGTGGGACATATATAAAAATACCTTAAAGGTGGAAGTCTTAAGCACATTGCTGGCATTTGAAAGCTTGCTTTCGTCTCTGTGAGCTGCTCTCGTGATGAAACGATTAATTCTTCCAAACCCTGAATTTAGAAACAAATAAAGCAACAAACTTTACAGTTTCAGGGGTAAATGATGAGCAAAATTTGACGAAACTAAAAAAATGTAAGGAAATCCATGAATAGTGATGAGTTTATACCATCGAGCCCTATCCTGATCTTCTTTCCGAAACCTGTTTAAAAAAATCATAAGATTTAGCTCATTTTCTACTCAATCAATCAATCAACAAAAATTTAATACCAAACTAGTTGAGATCTCTATGAATAAAATCCAAATCCAGATATAATAAAAAGGACGTACTCATTATTTAACGAGACAGAGAGAGAGGACACTATGCAGAGGGAAATGGTGTAGCGTTGCAATGGCTGCACTGTGTTTAGGAGAAGAAATTGTGGTGTGGGAGGGAGAAGCGCGTGTGGCTCAGAACATCTTGAGAATAAAAAAATCAGGAATTTGTCCAGTCATCGTCCTGGGTGGCCTAGCTCCAGTCAAATTCGGGTTTGCTAATTTTAGCTGGATATACTTTTTGACACCAATTTATTTTTGGAAAAACTACTTATCTAAACATACTTCACTATCATATATACTTATTTTACCTCTAGTTTAAAACAATTACATATAATATCACTTTTAATGATTATATCATATATTTTAAAAAAATTAATCAGTTATACAAGTTCCTTAAATATGGTGTTGAATAATTATCTTAAAATTCAAATTCCTTAATTTTTGGTTGATTAGCAATTCAAATTATCTCTCACGTCATCCCCTCTCCCCTAATTTATCGTCACTCCAAATGATCAACCTACTCTCTCTCCTAATCCTTCCACTCCCATCGCATCCCAAAATACTCTCGGTACAATGATGACTCCTCCACTAGAGCAGAAGAATGCATCAATGGGTGTGTCTTCTCTAAGACTATCAACATGCGGAAGTCTAATATCTAATTAATTATAACTTGAAGAATCAAACTTTTGTATGATATTGGACTGATTTGACAGCAAAATACTTATTATTTTCTTACTAGTGGCATCAATGGCCACTTTTTCTATTGCCAAAGATGAGAGAGACGAAGGGGAAAGGGAAGAGAGATGGTGGTAAAAATATGTATCTAGTTAGTTGTATGTGTATATACATGTATCTAATTAAA